ACGAGGACCAAAGAAAGAAACTTGGAAGTCTGGGCGGGCTTGATCAAATGGCTGAGATGAGAATGTGTCTTTTTCCTCAAACCCCTGGGGTTGAGCTCAGAGAGCTTGCCAGCTTGCTTCCCTCGTTTCATCTTGAAGATGTCTGCAAAAAGAGCCGAAAAAAATTATTTCTGTTCACGGCATGTTCCGCACGGGTTTGTAAATGTAACTTGGGAAGGATGACAAAATTGATACTTCATCCATACCAAACCAGGAATTTGCGAGTTATCCCCTACATCCACGGGTCACGGTGGTTCACCCCGAGTGAATATCGCAAATGCTTCACGGCACAAAACAAATAGCTCTGCCATCCAGCCATCCACTCTGAAAAGATGTTTTTGCTGCAGCATGTCTCTGCGCCTAGTTATCACACCGGAGGTCAAGGCAGACGACGTGCCGTTCGGTGCGTGGGTTGGGCAAGGCCGCAAATGCGTCGGTCGATCGAGGAACGTTCGGTCTGTGAAAACATGGGTGAACCGCACTCTCTAGAGATATGTTCGCCTTTCTTGGCTTCGTAGGCTTCTCTGTGATGCGGAACGGAAGTTTTGAAACCGTGCTGAAAATATCTGAAAATCAATGACAGCATGGCTACCCATACGCTTGGGTACTGTTAGCCAGAAGCCTGTTTCCAGAGAGCAACCCTATGCTTAAAGTCTAAGCAACGGCTGTGTGGTGGCCTAGGTGTTCTTAGAACCTGTCAATTTTTCACAGTGTCTCCTCTGTGTTTGGGAATGCCTGCATTATTCCATACTGTATCCGTCCACCAAACCTATTCAAGAACAATTTGCACCCTGAAGGAAAGCATCCCCGAAGTGCTCTGCGTTCACTATTTATGTGTCTTTGCGGAATCGTAATACCTCTAACTCTCCACCTAAACAACCTCTATGTGACGTGACCAGGCAAAGGGGACCACCAGAAACCAACGCGCGCCAACAACAGGGCCGGAAAACACCAACGAATCAGCGGATAACATATCAAATACTGTAATCAAGCACGGAAATAGCTAGCAAAGCCGCGGCAAGCTGCGGAGTTCATGTCGGCAGTTCCTTCTGTGACATGTTGCAATCGGTTATAAAGAGCACATGTTCTTGCTCGATCAACCATAAGAACAAAAACCAGAATGTTACAAGGGAAGTTCCAAGAGTCTTGGAATGAGCTATTTATTTACTGCTTACTGCCTAGCCTTGCTTGTATTTACAATCCTAATTCCTTATCAATGCCTCAATAACAAGAAGCCTGTCAGAGGAATGTTTGTTCAGACCCAAGGTATTGGTAGCAAGCTTGTGCCCCCAACCCTCATTGTCTGGAACCCAGAATTAACAGCATCAAACATCATCAAACAACTTGTAGATGTCATAGATAATGTCATGACCTAACACAACGAACCCAGTGGCCTTCATACAGCATCTTTTGTCTCGAAATCAGCTGGGCATTTGGAGGTGGTATGGGTGGTGGTCTACATGTGAAATCCCTAATTTCTCACATGCTTTCACAAGATCACTGGACCTTCAAGTGCAACAACTCAAGTTCGCGTCCTGTGGAAGAAAACACCAAAGTCTTCGGCACTCTCAGCACCTTTTGGCACGTTGCACGCTCAGGCTCGGCACCCCGGCCAACGTGACGCGTGCGCCACTCCTGGGCGGGCGCTGCCACGGTTTTTGCATCGCTGTCGCACCAGAAAGAAAACCTACCATACACCTCCATACACATCCATACACATCCATACACCACCCCAGGGACTGCATGTCAAAGCTGGGTTGATTGTTATGTTCTGCAAACGATTAGTATTCGTTTGAAAGACCTGCTAAACCTCCAAAGGTACAAAGATGAAGAGCGACTCGAAGGGAAAAAACGCATTGTTACCCTGAAAAAATAAGATAGTGGCAGGCTGTGGGAGTGCAGTTTTTTAGAAGATTGAATGTTCACATTGAAGATATGTGTATACTAGTGTTGTGGCTCATCAGCGTCTAGTGTTAAGTTGCTTTTGAGCCTGGCCTCCTTGTGATGGCAGAGCTAGAAGGTGAGAGTTTGGCAAGACAATTGGTTGTGAGAAGGGTACCTTTACTGCAAAAGCTAATTTTTTCTTTAGACTAAGGTATAGTAAAGCTTAATAACCATTATAGGGTCAAATATCATAGTTCTTAGAACATAATATATATTTTTTTGATTGTGAAAAGTTGATTCTTGGTCAAGTCTAATTAATTCCAGAGAGCAGGTGTTGCTGGGGGTGTGAGTTTAAGACAAAATGATATAAAATCATGTGTTTTACTGTGTTTTATTGCCCTGGGAGTGCTGGGAACTAGGTCAAAACATTGCCTTTTAGGTAGACAAATAGACTTGTTCAAGAAATATTTGGAATAATCATGTCTATATTAAGAAAGCTTTGTATAAAACTTCTATGCCAAAGGTTTTCCTCTAGATCTCTGGAATGATCCCTTCTATAACAAAATAGTTTTAAGCTGCTAATTCAATAGTTTTCCTCTTCATCTCTGGATGTTCTGATTTTTTACATTAAAAAGCTATATTTGAAAGCCTTTTTGTTCAAAAGATTTCCTTCAAATATCTGAGAATAGGTATTTCGAGGTTTAAAAAGCATGTATATAAGCAATTATTTTAAAGCTTACCTGTTCATTTCTGAAATAATCATTTCTATATTTAAAACTGCCTTCTACATTGTAAGTGATTTTTTTCCAAAAGCTGTTCCCTAGATTTCTGGGATTGATCACTTCTATATTCAAGACTAATATCCAAGGGTGCATTTCAAAAGCTGTCCCCCAGATCTTTGGGCATGATGATTTGTTTAAAGACTATATATAGAAGCTGGGTATTTCACAAGAAAGGATCTCTGTGAATAAATAGTTCTACAAACACTTCTATAAACATATATAAAATAAAAGTGGTTTGCACAAACTTACCTCCAGATCTCTGGGATTGATCACTTCTATGTTGAAAAGCTTTGTTTGAAAGCTTTCATTTTTATAGTTTTCCTCTGGACCTCTGGGAAAGTAGATTTTCTAGAGGTGTGTGTTCTTTATTTTTATGCAATATAAATATAAATACATATATATATATGGTTGTTTATTTATTTATCTGCCACTTGAAAAATCAACCCTTTTATGGAACACATAAATACGGACCCCATGGGACAAAACCAAAAACACCTTGAGAAAACACAAAAATGTATATTCATGAGAGTCTTGACTGAACCCTCCCACAGAGGACAAACTTCTGAAAACACATTTTGTTGGTGTGTTTTAGCGTGTTTTCTTCAAGAAGTGCTCACAAAGTGCAGAATCTTCTGCAGAGTGCACTGCTGGCAATGTAGTTTTCTTAACAAAGGTTAACAGAGTGCCCTCCTCGCAGTGTAGTTGTCTTACAAATCTTAACAGGGTGCCCTCCTGGCAGTACAGTTTTCTTGACAAATGTTGACTCAAAAGAACACACATTCGCGAGGAAACTTAACATTTGTCAAGAAAGCTGCAATACCAGGAGAGCACTCTGTGGAAAATGTTGGACCCTGTGGAATTGCCTTGTCTGCTACCAGGATCATATGGGAGTGCAGTTTATGTAGTAAAATCTAGGCCTATTGCTCATGAAAAGAACCTGAAAAACTGCACTCCCAGGAGCTGCCGTTCTGAAAAATAATGTTTCTCAGGGAAGCGCCCTTTAACAATATGTGTTCCCCCACCATAGTCCGCCGGGATGCATGTGTTATGGTGCCCACCATTGAACCGGACCACCAGACGGACCCGACATCTCTCGGAGGATCGGTGGTGCTTTTCTTCGGCCCGAAGAAGGCGGGTCGAAGATCTGACACGTCGGGGGCGGAAAACGATCTGAGCAACTCACCTGGGAGGACATGTTCGCCTGGAAAGATTCTAGACTAGCTGTCCATTCCTAGTATAGTTGCTTATCAGATGATTTATCTTCAAAGGTTGACTCCAACCCCATCAACCCACTGAGCATTCCCACACGGCCATGGTGGCGCTGCGCGCTTGACATTGGAGCCGATGCATCGCGGTGGCGGCGTTGGCGTGGGGACACAGCTGGCGAGACACTGGTGAGTCAAGCTCTCCAGAAAAGGTGAACCAAATTATGACCAAATAGATCCAAATAGACAAAAGATTCTGTTCCTGATCCAGCTACCCCAGAAAGGAGAGCCAGTTGGTCCATATGTCAGATTCAAACAGCAAGCACCTGGGCGAGGCTTCTCATCCAAAAGAGTCGCCAACCCTCAAGCGTGGACCTGGAGCAAACACCTGGAGACCAGCTGAAGCCTGGGTGAGGGGTCCTTCCAACCACCCAGAGCCCAGCGACGTCCAAGTGTGGAGGCAACGGCCTGAAGGAGCCCTTGATTCTGGGGTCACCACATGTCACAAAGTGCTCAACCCACAAAGCAAATTCAAATCCGGCCAATCCGACGGGTGTGCACCAAGTGCGCACCCGAAATCCCAGATGATCAGGCGCTTCACTCACCCAGTCAACCCAAATAATTGAACCTCAGGTCAGGTTGGCGGTCTCTAGACGGTCTAGGACTTGGAATTGCACCTGCTCAAGTTGGATTTGCATGCTGCGCCACCAGAGATCGCCCACAGGATCCTTAAGAGCCTCAAAACAGCAAGATGGTTCAGATGTGTTCAGATGATCTAAAGAATGGGCCCGGGCTTGGAAAACTCCGTGTCACGCATCAACTACAGTGTCCAACCCCTCCCTGTACTGGAGGCTGCCAGAAAGCGCGCTTGCCGCAGCTACATTGTGGCACACTGCGCTTTTCCAGATCAGCTTGCTCTAGAGAGATTCACCACCAGCCAACCAGATTCACGCAGGTTCTCTGGTGTTCTGCAGAACAAAACATCCTTAAACATGGAGCTGATTCCGGAACAAACTCCTTTAGCAGGTGTGTCATAGTTCCACCAACAGTACAATGAAGTCTCAAGAGGTGTTTCGATCCAAACGGCTACCCTGAAACCTGGTGTGTGTTGGGTCCTGAAACCATGGTGTCATCTCCAGAAGTTCCGGGTTCCGGCCTAGCGTCGCTCATGCGTCGCCGTGCTGCGTCACCGAGATCCGTCGCTGAGATCCGGCGAGAGTGCAGCCTCGCGCTCAGCCCTTGACCGCCTCCTCAAACTCTTCTGCCGCCTTCTCAGTCAGGGGTTCCTTGAGCGGGAGCCGGACGGGATGACCAGTGGCTGCAGTGGGCGCTTGCAGTGACAAAGCAATCCACAGCAGACCAAGCTTCCATAGAAATCAGAGGTCGACAAGAAAGACATTGCCACGAGCCAAAATCTGCAATGTTAGTATGGTATCGTATGATTCGTATGCTTTGGAGCAGTCTCGGTAAAAGAACGCTATACTTATTGATTACAAACTGGAAGAGAAACAGGCTCTCAGTCTGCGCTGATTTAATCAGCGATTACGCCATCTCGCCGACGCGCCCGTCGTCCTCCAAGAGCTGCCTCGCCACTCGGGGCGAAAAGGTGAAGGTATCCAAACCTGGCGTCGCCGCGGTCGGCGGACCGCGGTCTGCGTCGCCACCCACGTGCCTTTCTGTGCAAGGACCTGCATGTTCACCACATCCCTCAGGCTCGCCACCAGCACTCGGGTCTTCCCACCAATGCCACCAACGATCTCATGCATCTTGTAGCACTGGTCAAAGCCATCCTAGCGCAGCTGGCTGTGGGATGCCATAGCCATGTGGGACGCGTCCATCTGTCTTTACTCCAACGTTAGACCTTTCATGGGAAAGAAAAAGCAGCACCAACACGCTGTGCAAGTTCGAGTCCATCGTGTTCATCTTCATCGTCCTGAGTGGATCTACGTGTTCGTTCTTGAGCGGAAATTCGGCGACAATAAGCACCCGCCATGAGTGTTCTCAAGTGATGTAAACTGGCAAACAAACAAACAAACAAGGGTCAAGTTGTCAAGGAGGCCTTCCGAAAAAAGCCTTGGGGTGTTCTGTTAGAAGCTTCGCCCTTCCTCGGCATTCCGCTTCGCACCTCGGCTCCCGGCGCTCTCCCCGAGGCGAAGGACCGAGCCGGTCCTTCCGGTTGTCGTTCATCCGCCCCAGGTAAGGTGCCACATATTCCACTCCCAGGCCAGTGGCAATCAGCGCCTGCTTAGCACTGTAGCAGGCAGTAAGGCAGACCCGGACTCCTGCGCAAACCGAGGTTGGAGGCGGTTGCCCAGCGGTCGCCGGGCAGGTGACCGAGAGGTGAGGTCGAATCGTCCGATGTAGACCAGGACGGCTCGTGTTTGCAGGTGTGGACAGCCTGACAAGCGATGGTGGTTGGACTTGGACGATCGAGTTCCTGCGAGCTGTTCATGCTTCTTCATAAATGACCGGTCAAAGCTCGTCGGCTTCGACTCGAGAGTGGTTATGAAGTTATAAATATATCTATCATCAAGGGAAGCGTGACTCCTCCCCAGTGTTAGCACTATCAGGTTGGAGCTGCATCTATGCAGGAGGAAGGGCATCGGATGACCTTGCACACAAGTTTGACCTGCATGGGCACTAGCTCCCCAAACAGTTCCCATCCAAACGTGCACTCCTTAAATGCAAGTGTAGAACAAGAAGCTGGAGTCTTGGGTGGAAGCGATTACACCAAAATTGGCAACCTCATGTGCAAGGTCTCAGGATGTTGGGCTAAATGATCAAACTGACCACAAGATTTACAGATATTTAGATTCAGATGGCACATTGACCCGAGCTTGAGCCAGGGAGGAGGAAGTGCCATCTGAACTCTAAAACCGCTGGGACTATGTCCCAAACTCTTAGCACAAGTGACCTGAACTGAGCAGCAAGACCGGACGAATCTCTCGTCTGCTTACCATCCAACCGGTACTGAACGGTTTGGGATAAAAGGACATGATAAGGATCGAAAAAGAAATCAAAACCCTGAACAACAGTTTCGTCTTTCAAGGTGTCTGATGTGTTCTTTGAGGCTCTCAAAAAATGGGTAGGACATGGTAGGACTATCATCACATAATACATGATGTCACATGAATTGAAATTAACCAGCTTGACTCTTCAAGGACATGTCTGAAGCGAGAACTCCTTGGGTGTCTTTTGATCACAAGTGGTCATTGCAGCAAAAGATTGTCGTTCGGGCCTTTTGGTCCTCGAATGCCGGTCCTCACCAGTTTAGAGGGTGGTCGTTCTTGTAGTTCGCTATCTTTGTCCCTGTGGTTTGCCTGTGGTTTAAGCGCACAACATCAGCGAGTGAGACATAAAGAGGTGTTGCATGAAGAGTTTTGCCTGCGGATTCATCTCTTATTCAGATATCACTCAAGACATATCACAAGCCAAAATGCCATCTACAACTCAGCAGGACCGGCACCATGACCAAGGCCCCCCCAAAGGCCCAAAGGCACCAAGGGCCCAGAAGCGCTCTTTGCGCGCGCTCCTTCTTCCAACAAGCGCTTGGCTGCCTTGATCCCTTCCACTGTGGCCGGCACCTCGCGTTGGGTTCGGAAGGTGCCAGTGGGCCTGCTGTGAGGGATTCCAATCAATCCAAAGAAGAACCACAAAATCCTTCAGGCCTTAGATGAAGCAACGCATTGCTGTAGTTGGTTAGAGAGGTCTTTAAGTCTTTTTACCGCCCTCACCATCTCGGGTACACCCGACTGCATGACTATTTGGGACCTAGCCGTACATGGCCTACCTTTGACCCACAGCCACACAACCCCATCTTGGAGGGAAAGTGGTTTGGTTCTGCACAGATCGGGATCGAAGAACCCTCCTCAAACAGGCCGGAAAGTTGCTAAGTGCTTTGTAACACCAGAAAGTGGATGATGACACCCCATCATCAAGTTCTTGACCCGGACCCACAGACGCCTCTACCAGTGCTGCAGTGCTGCAGCCGTGCCTTCACCACGATCTTCTCCTTGTCCAAACCCGCCAGTTTCATCCCGGTGTCGTACAGCTCGCCTCATCATGCGCTACACGACACAAAGTCCGTCCCCGATCCGGAAAAAAAGGATCCATCCCTCCTTCAGGGGTTTGAGCACCGTTGCCAAGTTTGTGATCATTCCCAGACCATCCATAAAAAAGGACTTCCACAGATTCAATCCACGGCTGCGGCCTTTTCTTGTTGATTCAATCCTGTTGGTATTGAGTGATTAATCGGTATATCATCGCATACCATATATCTATACGTCCAATGAAAAAACATGTCCCGTGCGCTTGAGCCTGCTGTCACCGACCCAACAAAATGTCCCGTGCTTTGCCAACTACGCAGTAGTGGTCTATATCAAAACTTGGAGATACCCCTCAAACTGGCCGACCCAATTGTCAAACTCGTCACCGCAGGGACTCGACTCCAACGTCGAAAGACATGTTGACCAAAGGAGAAAGACATTGGGATAGTCCAAAGGAAACAACAATTTTGAATTGTGTTCACCGCTTTTCTCGTGTTCCCTCCACAGCTGGTCTTATATCCAGATAACAAACAAATAATATATAATATAAATCAAGACATACACATCATATCACATCATACTACAGGGTAATACACCGTCTATGTCTTGCATGTTCGGAAGAACATTCCTGTGAACCCCTCGAACGCATTGTGCAGGTACACCCTCTTCCCTCAATATCAACCGATTGATGTGGATCAGACAAAAAAATGTGCCCTTCCTCCAAAACGCCGCCGCGCACGCCGGGATGACAGGCGAAGGCACTTGCATCCTTGCCCCAGCTTTGGCACATGAACTCATCCGTATGCTTGAAGGCCTGCCCTGCAAGCTGATGGAGCGAGTCGACGGTGCACTTGACGTTGTCCTTCTTCAAGATCCTGAATGGGAGCATGAACAGTGGGAATGTGGGAAGAATCGGCCTGTAAAGCGGGTGGCCATCTTGCTTGACTGTGCAGTAAAGCATCGAGAAGAGCTTGGAAGAACTATAGTAGTGACAATTGATTCAAGCATCGCTCCGTGGCCATGTCTGAAATCCAGAATATATGGATATGTTATAGTTATTTTTTCTCATGTGTTGTAAGTAAGACAAGGGCCTTGAGGTGAGCTTGCATTTATAGAACCGTTGCACACCTTCACCAAAATACTGTAATGAGATGTAATGAGATGTAATGAGTCATTTTCATAGAAAGTACAATCCTAGACTGACGAAAAAATCTCAACCCCTTGAGGTGAAGAGGTTATCAAGAGTCCACATCAAATCGGACCATCTGCCGGGACACTCTTCACTCCTTGGGCCCTGAAGGCGGAGGGCCCCTGTTTGAGGTTCCACCGATGCGCTTCCAGACGCAAGGTCTGGAAGGGCTGGAGGACGGTGGCCTTTCAAAACATGATACTTGACCAAGGACTTGCATCGGACGCCCTTCTGACCTTGTGCAGGCGAACTTCATCCCACTGTTCCTGCCATCTTCTGCGAGATTCTTACCAGAGACCGAGAGACCAAGTCGCTTGTGATGTACCCCATCATCCACCCATCCACCAGTGGGGGACTTTCACCAAGCCACATCCTTCCGGCCCCGGCGGATCTCTCTCCAGATCTCTCGACCACGGCGAGAGACGCCACAGGTCTCATCGATCGAGTCTCGCAGGGTTCGTGGTGACGCCCGAGAACATGCCCAAGGGCAGAAGCTCATCGTAGGCGCTCACGTCTGCGGTGTCCAGGAACAGCCGCGCTTTCCCACGAAGCGGCGGAGTGAACCCCGGCCGATGCCCAAAAAGACCTCAAGCTTTTGGAAGGCGACGTAAAGAAAAGACGAAGCGAACAACTTGGCCGGTGACTGAACCCCTAAAGAAAAGCAGGTTGGTCATGATACGTCATGATGACTCATGATTCTAGATGTTTTGTCTTCGCTCACAACTCCGTAGCAAAGCCACATCGACACCACCAAAGAATCTATGAGTTTATCAATACGCGAAGCTTGGTCACGTCTGGCGTCGGAAAGCGCTTCGTCGGGTGGCCAAGGGTTAGCCAAGCTGCCCAGGGCCAGCAACAGCAGGAGTAGTTGGCCGCGATACATGTCGTCGCACAGAATTCCGGCACTGGCGTCCGGTTTTCAACACGCTCGATTTGCGTCCAAGGTCACTAGTCCTGCGTTGAGCTGCAAGGTCACTAGGGTGCGATATCAATTGGTGCCATGATTGACCTTCGTCTTTCGCTCACATGGGCTTGGAACTCAAGCAACTTGTTCAGCGGCGAGCCGAGAATCTAACCCAAGTGATTGTGGGTCAAAACCGGAGAACACCGAACAAGGCAACTGTCCAAAGAGTCCAAAGCCTGGGATTCCAACAACCATTGTCTTCATGGTATTTGCCAAACAACCAGAATAGCCTTCGAAGGCCAGGGCGAATAATCCGTGCTTCGCAGTCGCAGATGTTTACATCAAGCTCCTTCCGTTTTGGGCCTTGAATCCGAAATGGGTCCCGCATCCCTGGTCCCTCGGCCAATGGTGTTTTCCACATGCCGCGCTCGCTGGACTCTCAGGCAGTCCCAAACCTCGGTCCGATGGTCACAGAACCTTCCCGGGAGGTCGAAAAAGGGTTTTACACGACTTGCGCATGAAAATCATCCGTGTTCATCTCAGGTTCCAAGAACAGCCCACAAGCTCGTATGTGTTTTTTTTGTATCGCTCACACCTGCTTTGCATCGCTGGTGTGAGAAAGGTCCAGCAATGTAACCACGGGCCACACGTGTCTGGGGAGAACTGTGAGTAGAATAGCCTCTTAGTTGTACTTCGATCGTGAAGTCAAGAAACTAACAATCGTAGCAACTGGCAAAGGGACTGCAAACAGAATACCTATTCGATGAGCTCTAACAGGTTCCATGTGTTTTATTTCGCAGGACGCGTTGGTGTCGTGAGAGTAGGGCAATTCTCTTGCCAGCATTGTGTTAGGGTGCCTCCAGGCAACTACATTCACGTAACCTACTGGTACCGACTGGTCAAGACTTGAACAGAAAGTTCAAAGTTCCGTGTGCTCCACCGGCGGCCTTCTCAGCATCTGTTTGTTTCCACGAACACAGGTGCCGCAGAGAAACGAGCCTCTCACGTTCGTGCTTGGTCGGGCCTCGGACGGCCTGGGTGGCCCCAACGATTCGTCCACCAAGGCAGAGAGGAGCTTCTCCAGGAGCTGCGCCTTGGAGCTGTAGAAATGCCTTGGAGCTTCGCCAGGCGCGCGAAGCTAGCGGTTTTCTGGGGCGCGGCATTTCTGGGGCACGTTCGTTCCGTTTGGATCGGAGCGGTGATGTGTGCGTTCTTTCCACGCCGGCAAAACGTGGAAGGTGAAGCGAAATGAACATTTTTTGTTCGATGTCCAATGTGTGCATTCCACTATAGCTATTCAAGGCTCATTACCCAGCTTTCAGGGTGCGGTGCAGTGAATGATCTTGAAATACATGGTGTCGTGAAGTACATGAGAAATCAAACACAAAAGCAATGCTCCAAAGCTCCCTTTAAGCAGGAAGGGAGTCTTTGGTGCTCAGCAACTGAAAATCAATGTGAGTGTTCACATTTGACCCTTGCTTGCACCACTGGCGGCCCCCACAGGACCAGCTTGTTGACGCCTTGCAGGACCACTGGCCGTGATCGAACAGCGAGAGAGACCATGATCGAACAGGTCGGCTGGATCGAACCGCCTTCGAAGGCTGGATGGAACTGACCGCAGTTTGGACCAAACGGTCCTGTCACTCGAACACCTCTCTCGAACAACTTGGGCCCGTCTTTCCTTCCTAGTTCTGACGCAATCCTTGACCCGGAGAAAGTTGGACCTGCTTGGAAGTCAAACAACACAAGCTTCAGCGGCTGTGGCTACGCTAGGCACTCTGAGACAGCCAGCCACCTTTGAAGTTTTTCATGGGCAAGCCCGAAAACGTGTGGGTAGGCCCACCAGTCCATTTTTTGCTACAACGGAAGCTAGCCACCAAAGGGGGAGGAACCCAACTTGGTGGATTCGTCCGGAGCAGTCTGCTCGATCTGTGGCCAGTCGGCATGTGTCTCAGTTTGGCACAGAATGATCTCCCAAGATCCTTTTCGCATCCTAGGTCTTTGAAACAAGGTCTTCGAGGTCAGACCCCAAAGGGCCACCATAGGTCCACCCACTCCCCCAACGGTCGGCCCGGTTGAGCCGCTGGCAGGTGTGAGCCGTTGGCAGGTGGTGCTCGGAGCCTAAAGGTGACCTGCTCGCAACCCCTTGACACTGGAGAAGTGGATCTTTGCTGTCTGCTGGTGGGGGGTGAGAGGCGAAAACCCGACCCCTGCTTTGACTCACATATGATGGAACTGGAGAATGGACCCGTGGTTTTAGACCCTGTTCCGAAGACCAACCCCAGTGGATTTGGGGGTTCCATGTGATCCTCTAGTGGGGAGTACTGAATGCGACATCTTTCAAGAAGGACTCTGTCAGGAGATGCTTGGACGCGGAACCAGTTGCAGCATGGTGAGACCCCGTTGCAACAGAATGTCCATCTCTTGGTGTGTCTTGGAACGTCGGAATTTAGAAGGGACAGACGAACCGGTTCCCCGATATGAGGGGTCTTGCATCAACAAAGAATAGGTACGAGTAAAAAGGTGTGTTCGGATTCAACGATCGACAGTTCAAAAGCCTACCAGCACAAACCACGAAGACCGAAGGGTTTTGCTCCTTAAAGCTTTGTCTGAAAGAGGACTTCCTCAATTTCATACTTTTCCAGACAGAGGCTAAGTACTCCCGACCTCAGAATCAGGAACTGTCCCCCCAGAAAGCGGTCTCACTCAGGAAACCGCTTCCAGGAATTTTCCGCTTCAGCTCGAAGACCCGGACACTTCCACCGCAAAGGGCGGCCGCAGCTCTGCGAAACCGCCTGACGCGTGCAACTCAGGTGGACACGCCCGTGCGCAGATGGGGAGTTTCCGCATGTGTTCTAGCAGCGAGCAGGTTCCTATCCTTAGAGCATCACCCAAATAGAACTAGGAGCTTCTTGTTACTACTAGTAAGGCACTTGTTACTAGAAGCGATGCACTTGTTCCTAGTATCGTGGCACTTGTTTCTAATAGCTTCTTGTTTCTATTAGCTTCTTGTTACTACTAGTAAGGCACCTGTTACTACTAGCGTGGCACCTGTTTCTAATAGCTTCTTGTTTCTAATAGCAAACCAGAATCTCAGAACAGCCTTCCCACCAACAAACCCAGACAGTGCACACCGCCTCGCAACTCTGCTGCACTCCCAGCGGCACTTCCACAAACCCCGAGTGTCCATCTGTTTCATCAGTGTGTTCGAGTCCCATCGAACACATGCGGGAAAAGGCGTAATTAACCATCTTCAATCGATGGACGAAGGTCCTGAGTCCTGTCAATTCAAGGAAAAAGAACCTCTTCATCATGCAAAACCGTTGGCATGGTCGGCAGAAATTGGAGGCCATCGCTAGAAACTTGCCATCGCTACTGGGTTGGAGGCCATCGCTATGAGATTGAAGGCCATTGCTGTTAGGTTGGAGGCCATTGCTATCAGGTTGGAGGCCATTGCTATCAGGTTGGAGGCCATTGCTATTAGGTTGGAGGCCATTGCTATTAGGTTGGAGGCCATCGCTATTAGGTTGGAGGCCATCGCTATTGGGTTGGAGACCATTGCTATTAGGTTGGAGGCCATTGCTATTGGGTTGGAAGCCATTGCTATTAGGTTGGAGGCCATTGCTATTGGGTTGGAAACCATTGCTTCTAGGTTGGTGGCCATTGCTATTAGGTTGGAGGCCATCGCTATTAGGTTGCCAGCCATTGCGATTAGGTTGGATGCCATTGCTATTAGGTTCGAGGCCAATGCTATTGGGTTGGAGGCCATTGCTTCTAGGTTGGAGGCCATTGCTATTAGGTTGGAGGCCATTGCTCTTAGGTGGGAGGCCATTGCTATTAGGTTGGAGGCCGTTGCTTCTAGGTTGGAGGCCATTGCTATTTGGTTGGAGACCATTGCTATTAGGTTGCAGGCCATTGCTATTAGGTTGGAGGCCGTCCCTATTAGGTTCGAGGCCATGGCTATTAGGTTGGAGGCCATTGCTTCTAGGTTGGAGACCATTGCTATTAGGTTGGAGGCCATTGCTATTAGGTTGGAGGCCATTGCTATTAGGTTGGAGGCCATTGCTTCTAGATTGGAGGCCATTGCTTCTAGGTTGGAGACCATTGCTTCTAGGTTGGAGACCATTGCTATTAGGTTGGAGGCCATTGCTATTAGGTTGGAGGCCATTGCTTCTAGATTGGAGGCCATTGCTTCTATAGGTGTATCAGATGTTGTGAGGTTTTGTTCCCGACTTCGGATTTATCCAGACCCGACTGCACCTGGGGGGTGGACGACTAGAGCCGGTGGCGAAGCGCAACAAACGGCAGCGCTGTTCGGCCTGAAGCCGGAATTGCAGGGCCGGCGGTGAAGGCTCTGATGATCTCTGATGCTGGTTCGGTTCTTCTGGGGTTGAAGGTTCAGAGGTCTTGTCTTCGTTGTTCATCCGTGTTTGAGTCAACTCTAGTCTTAACTCTGGTCACTTGGTCTGTGAATCAAGCCCAACCCAACCGGAGGAAACCTGAGCTCGCCTGAGAACGGCATCCCCACTGCTCACCACACGACCGCTGTACACTCCCGCTGACGCGCCCTTCGCGCGCGTTCCACTCCCCAGTTGCTCTCGCCCTGTCGGTGAAGTCCCGATGGTTCGTGGTACGAGGTCAAGGGGTCAATGGGTTTCCTCTGTCTGATGTGAAACATGGGAAGAATAGAGAGGAAGAAGAGTGAGGATGGAGGATGATCCTGATGATCCTCCTCCAGATTCGACGAACCTTCAGAGGCTCTGCAGAGAACCTGGAAACCTGTAATTTATGCTTTCAGGAGGGTAGATGAGCGCATTAGGGCTTTCGGGAAGGTATCTGTCATATGTGCTCACATAGTGGATGGTTCAATTCTTCCAGCTCACAAGAAAGAATACATGAAAATGCGCCATTGGAGCCCCAAACACCTCGCATCCAAACCATGGGAATCTCCGCATGCCATCGGGTCATTCCGCTGCATGTCATCGCTGTGCCCCACCCACGGATCGATCGCATCTGTGCCGCCGGCGGCGAGGT